CTACAATATACTCTGACTCGCATGTCGAGTCTACCATCGTCTTCTTTTTGGAACTTTTCCATGTAACAACTCCTCCATTCAGCAAAAACACCCAACATGACTGTGAGCACGGGTTGTCCTTGTCAGTCTGGAAACTTGCATCTAAATATCTTGTAACTCTCAACTATTCTCTGCCATCATGTACCAAGAACATATCCTTAGTTCTTTTCATATACTTAAGGATATTCTTTATGGCTGTCCAATGACTAACGTCGTGATTTTCTTGATACCGACTCACCATGATTAGAGCATATGAGATATCAGGTCTAGTACATGTCATGGCGCAGAAAACTGGACACCAATCATTGTTCCAAGTGAATACTCATCTTGGGTAGATTGCATCAAGTACTACTAGGAAGGTCATGATAGTGATATCTGGACTTACATTTCCATTGGGAAACATAATCCAAATTTTCTCAAAAGCATTACCATTCCTGAAGTAGATGTTTCCCATGAAACTACCAAAAGAACTGACGTTGGCATCGCTACAACCAGTGGCGGACCTTAGTGGAGCATTGGGGGTCCCGGGCCACTGCTCAATTTCCGGCACGTAGTGTATTTTGTTTTTTTTTTGTTTTTTTTTTTTTTTTTTTCTATTAGGTGCACCGGCTTGAAGTACGAGGGATCCCCCTACTAAAACAGTCTGCGTCCACCACTGGCTACAACTGCTTTATCTCATGATCGAAGAGTTAAGAAACTAGAATCTAAGGCGATGCCCCTTGACCGTTGTCCAAATGTCACTTTAGCTTATCTGAACGTGCACCCCACACCTCCAGACCCGCTTTATAGTTAAAGTTGAACCCAACTTGTCTCGAGTCGATCCTTATTATTCTAAATTTTATGATGATAATAAAATCACCAACATATTATTCACAAGTGCTTATGGATACACACTAGGGTAGTAGGAAACTTTCATGACTTTTTGAAAGGTTAGCAATACCTTATAAAACCAATGAGTCTTGCAACAGAAAAACATACCAAATACAACATTTTCTTAATATAGGTTAATATCACTAGGTCCAATGTTTGTAAACTCTGAGGGAAATTTTTTTTATAGATGGAGTGTACTCTTTTGCCTTGAAGCAAAATGTTATAGCCCGTGTCATTTTTAATCATTGCATTTGAACCCCATCTACAACCCTAATAACATTTGGATCAACAAAAAACTCTCCCTAAGTTTTTTATGGCGGGCAATTGAAAGCCTATAAAGGTTCATTATTTTCACTTTCTATCCATGTATGGTGACTTGTTACCACTTACTAAAACAAGCTCTATTATCAGTAAATTGTTAGATGAAAACCATAAAGAAGTTATCATATTTTTTAACTATATCACATAGTGTATCCAACTTTTTCATACACGAGAAAAGACATGGCATCATATCACGAATAACATTTGGCTTACGATCCCAAAATCATGACCTTTAATAGTGGCCCATGAAACCAATGTGTTGTTAATCTCACAAAAAAATGGATAGCCATTCACATATTTTGTTCAATTTTCACAACCCTTACCACTTCTTTTTAATAAGTCTGGTATGAGGTCGTGATGTTTATTAGAGAGAGATACATTACAAGGAGACCTAAACAATCACATATAGACAAGCCTAATGTTATAAACTTTTATGGGCTTTTAGAATACTTTCCTTCTCTTTGTATTTCATAAGAAAACATGATTAATTTCTCTATTTTTAAGGACTTTGTGCAATTACGGTGAAATTGGTCTACTTTCGCGTTTGTGGTTTGTTTTGAAGGACATGGAGATCATAGGATAATCTTGGTAGCATACAAGGAGGCATTGGGACCATCCTAAGAAGTTTAAAGTGCGAAACAAAAAAAAAGTTACAAAACACAAAATGAGGATTTAACAGGCTTTTACACGGTCATGTAGGTTTAACAAAAAACAATTACACAGTTGTGTAGAAGTACATAAAAGATTCAAAAAAGCTTTAAATTTACGCAACCGAGTAAATCCAAAGCAAAAAATCCGTATGGTTGTGTGTTCGATTTGATGACAATGGGGGAGGGGAGGTTTTTTAGTACGATTAGTAAGAAATTGAAGGCATTCAAATCAACGAAAAAGCAGAGGAGATTATTCAAGAAAGAATATTGTGGTTTAGTGTCATCAATAATTTTATTTTATTTTGTATGTGTTAAATTTGTAGTTTAACTGACTGGTTGTTTTGTAATCGGTTATTAGTCAACATGATTGGCTAAAATCTCAAAAGTTCGACTTTGAGTTCTTAAGGGGCGTTTTGTTCGTGGAATTTTTTAAAGGGAATGGAAATTATCAAATGAATTTCAATCTCAAGGAATATAAATTTCAAGGAATTTGAATTTGTTATGTGTTTGGTTGACATGGAGTAGAATCTATTTTTTGTTTGGTTTGTAGATTTTCCAAATGAATTGGAAAGTAAATTATGTATTATGACCAAAATACCCTTTCATTGATTTTTTGTAACTTACTATTATTTTTAAAAATGATAAAACTTTCATTTATTAAACACTTACCCACTCAAACCTATGTGATCTTGGTGGCATGGGTGTAAGCATGTGCGTGTGGGTGTGTGTGTGTGTGCGCGCGCGCATGTGGGGATGTGTAGGAGTTGAAATCAAATTCATTGGCATAGGCTTGTTGGCGTAGTCATGTCGGCATGGATGTGGGTATGGGATAGGGTAGTGTGGGGTAACATGGGTGGGTGTGGAGGTGTGGGTGTTAGGGTGAGGTGGATGGGTGGGGCGGGCGGGGGTGCTTGCGTGTAGGGGTGAGGAGTGGGGTCCGGTGGACATGTGGGTGAGATAGGATAGGAGTGGGTGTGTATTGGTGAGGGCGGGGTAGTTGGGTGTAGGTATATGGGGGAATGGGGTGGGTGTGGGGGCGAATGTGTGTGTGTGTGTGTGTGTGCGCGCGCATATGGGTGGGGTGAGACGAGGGTGGGCAAGGTGGGGTGGTGTGGGGATGTGTGGGGTGTAGGTGTTAGGATGGGGTGGATATGGGGGTAGGGAGAGGGTGAGCGTGAGGGTGGTTGTATAGGTGTGGGTAGGTGTGTGGATAGAGAGTTGGGGTGTTAGAGAGATGATGATAATATATTTTAATTTGATAAATCATGATTAAAATAAAGAGTTTGTAAGAGAGTATTTTTGTCTTTTAAATAAAACCAAAGGAATATAATTTAGAATCTGTCTTTACCAAATAATTATCAATTTTTTTGAACATATAATTTAAAGAAATCAAATTTCTTTGATTTTGTCAATTGAACATATAATTTTTACTAATTTACATTTCAATTCCTTCAAACTCCTTTGAAATCCGTGAACCAAACTACCCATTAGTTTCGTAGTGATTGTGTTTGTTTTCCTACATTGGTATTGGATTCGCGTTTGGATTTAGCAATCTAGGTTTTGATTTATTAAAAAACATGTTAATTGCATTGTTTGAGCAGGCCACTTAGATTTAACAAGAAGCAACACTAGGCGTTTATTGTGTTAGGCCAATAGAAGCACGTGGAGATGCACATATCTTTTGTGGGAACAGTTTGGGAGATACGCCCACAAAAGTTTTACATGCCAAGCTACAAATTACTAATTTTACTAGAAAATTTTAGAAGAAAATAGTGACAGACACATACACATAAAGCTAGTATGTGCTATGTTATGAACTAGAAGGGATTGAATTTCTCAACATATTTATATTGTTCTAAAACTATGTTTTTAGGCACACAAGTCTTTCCATATTGTAATTGTAAAGGATGTTTTACATATTAGATTTATAATCAAATAGTTTACAAGTCATTGTTAAATTTTGGAACACAATTCTGATTGCGCCTAATAATGTTTGATTGGTCAACATAATATAAATCATGACAAGAGTTCATAAGTAAAGAGATTACAACTACATATCCTCAGGCATTAAATGACATCTTGATTGGCGTTTTGGACGATATTTTCTCCCACTGGTCAACTCTGATTGACCCGGTTGTGTTGTTGGTGGTGTAACTGGTGGTGAAATTGACCGGTTGAATGATGATGGCAGTGTTATAAAATGCCACTCTTCATCAACATCACTGATCCAACCATGATATGGTTTTCGCCTTCGGGGTTGACTGTTTTCAGGTGGTGGTGGAAGGATGGCATCCATGGTAGGTGGCACTGGCGGCATTTTTAGAACCGTTTCTACAACAGGTGGCAGTGGTGTTAAAGAGGTATCCAGAGGTTGCGGTGGTGGTGGTGGTGGAGGAAGGATGGCATCCATGACAGGTGGCACCGGCGGCAGTGTTAGAACCATTTCTACAACAGATGGCAGTGGTGTTAGAGAGGCAACCAGACATCCCTTGATGTGCCATCATGTTCCTGGTGTGCCACATGCGTTCTTGATTATTTTGTGGGAAAACCTTAGAAAAAAAAAACTGTAGTATTTTTTATGACAATAGTCAAGCCCTTTAGCTATGAACCTTTTAACTTTCTTGTTGGGATTGAGCTGCACATATGACCAAACAACATCCATAATTACCTTTGTTACAATACTGATTACTAATATTATAACTTTAACTGAGCTAAAAAAATAGTTCCCAACACAGACCACTATTTTAGTATTAAATAATTACAATAACGTTGTTTTAACTTTACTTTGAAAAAGCAGAGCAATAGGTCTTTTAACTACTCTTTGAAAAAACTGACGAATTAAAATCCAAATCACAAATGTACTGCAATGATTGATCGATCAGATACACGTACCGGTTCTGGAATCTTGGTTTTATTTGTTTGGATAATATACAATAAAAGATGTATTATTCATATAAATAGATGTGTTAATTTGTAGTTTTCCTATAAATAAAATCTTGGGTTTAATTTAAGCACATTATTTCTCCATCGATCTCCAAATCTCATCACCAACAATTAGTTATGTGCTGCTCATTCTTCCCAAAAGTAGCGGTCTTAGTTCTTACTCTTCTCATAGTACAAATGAATGAAGCTGTCTCTGAAGATAGTCATGCATTGTTGGCATTCAAATCCATGATTACACATGACCCTCAAGGTATCATGAGATCTTGGAATGATTCTCTTCCTTTTTGCCTTTGGGCAGGAGTGACATGCGGTCGTCGCCACCAAAGAGTCACAAGCTTGGATCTACCAAACATGGGCTTAGTGGGTACTTTATCACCTTATCTTGGCAACCTAAGCTTCCTCATGGACATTAGCCTTGAAAACAATCATATTCATGGAAGTATCCCTCCTGAAATAGGTAACTTGTTTCGATTACGAGTACTCTCCCTTCGTAATAACTCGTTCACAAAAAGAATCCCACCCAACATAACAAGTTGCTCAAAACTATCGTATTTTGACTTATCTTACAATATGCTGTCTGGAAAAATTCCAAATATTTTCACTTCTCTGTGGATGATCAAAACGTTAAGGTTGAGTAAAAATAACCTAACGGGTGGAATTCCACCATCCATTGGCAATCTCACATCTCTTGAAGAACTCATTCTTTCTTATTGTCCATTGGGAGGGAGCATTCCAGATTCCTTCAGTCGGTTGAAAAACTTGCAAAGATTAAGCTTGGGAGAAAATGGCCTCGTTGGATCCTTTCCATCGTTTATCTATAACCTTTCCAAGTTACAACTTTTAAATTTTCCAGAAAATCAACTTGTTGGCAGTCTACCCTCCAACTTATGTCTGGGTCAACCCCATTTCCAAAGACTAGAATTGTCGTATAATCACTTCACTGGATTCCTTCCGTCCTCGATATCAAACTGCTCAGAGTTGCAAATCTTTGATGCTTCTAGTAATGATTTCATGGGGGACATAGCTACTGATTTTGGAAAACTCAGACATCTTAAGTGGTTATCTTTTGGTCGAACCGAGGAGGATCTTGGTGTCATAAAAAAGTTTGATTCACTGTCTAATTGCAGCAATTTGGAAGTATTACAACTTGAAGGCGTCCGATTAACGAGGGGGTTACCAAATTCGTTTGGGAACTTAAGCAAACTGACGATCCTAGCACTTCAAAATAGCTACATATCAGGCACCTTGCCTTCATCTATAGGCAATTTGTTTAGCTTAACTGTCCTTTCTTTAGCTGGAAATAACTTCACAGGCATGATTCCCAAAACCAATGGCAAGCTTCAAAAGTTAGGAGTGCTACATCTAGAGGTTAACAGTTTCTCTGGGATCGTTCCTAGATCTATCGGAAACCTGTCATCCTTAAATCAAATGGAATTAAGTAGAAACAAATTGGAAGGTAGTATACCCTCGAGTATCGGGGAATGCAAAAACTTGATACTTCTATCACTTGCTGCAAATAATCTTAGAGGAAGTATACCCAAAGGACTATTCCAATTGTCTTCACTTTCGATCATACTAGATCTGAGTCGAAACAACCTCTCTGGAGTGCTTCCAGAAGAGATTGGCGGCCTGAAAAACTTAGGAACGCTCGATTTGTCCCAGAATCATCTATACGGTGAACTTCCTAGTAGTCTAAGCAGCTGCATCAGCCTTCAATTCTTAAATTTTTCCAGCAATTTCTTACAAGGATCGATGCCGGAAGCATTGAGTTCTTTGAAAGCCCTCGAATATGTTAACCTATCAAGAAATAACTTTTCTGGACATATTCCTAGATATCTGCAACAAATTCCTTTGAAGGATCTAGATCTTTCATATAATGATTTTGAGGGAGATGTATATGTTAAAGGTGTGTTTGCCAACACAAATGCAATATCAATCATAGGGAATCATAGACTTTGTGGGGGAATACCTGAACTTCACCTACCCAAATGCACAAGTAACGACTCCAAAAAAGGCAGAAAGCTTTCTCTTGGTGTTGTTGTAGCGATTTCACTATCTTCCGCTGTTGCAGGTATAGCTCTAATGTCATTTGTCTACTGTTGTATAAAGAAGAAGAAGAAAGAAAAATCATCAGAACCAATGTTGACTGAATCTTTTGAGAAGATTTCATATGAAACGCTTTTCAAGGCGACTGAAGGGTTCTCTTCACAAAACCTGATTGGTACAGGTAGCTTTGCTTCGGTTTACAAAGGAGTTGTCGATGAAAATGGGTCGACTGTGGCGATAAAAGTACTAGACCTCCAAAGACGAGGAGCTTCCAAGAGTTTTATAGCCGAGTGTGAGGCCTTGAGACATATTCGTCATCGCAACTTAGTGAAGGTCATAACTTGTTGCTCAAGCCTCGATTTCCAAGGCAATGATTTCAAAGCTTTAGTGTACGATTTCATGTCAAATCGGAGTCTAGAGAGTTGGTTGCATTCACACACGACGCCTCATGAATACGTCCAGCCTCGTCAACTAGATCTTGTTCAAAGAATAAGCATTGCCTATGATGTGGCTTGTGCTCTTGATTATCTACACTACCGCTGTGGAAACGTTGTTGTTCATTGTGATTTGAAACCAAGTAACATTTTATTGGATGCTGATATGTTTGCTCATGTCGGAGACTTCGGGCTTACAAAAATTATTTCCCCTGAAGAACATTCTAATGAAAACAAGAGTAGTTCAAGTGTTATCAGAGGAACAATCGGGTATGCGCCTCCAGGTAAATTTACAACCGTTTTTTCTTATTCTAATCCCTATTTCACATTTTCACAAATAACTCCCCCTAATTTTGCAGAATATGGTCTTGGAAATGAGGTCTCCACCAGTGGGGACATGTATAGCTATGGGATCCTATTTGTTGAATGTGAAGCCATTGGGTTAGTCAAAAGAAGTGGCAGGAAACAAAGACTCTCATGTGAACATGGAAAAATTGTTACGGCTGCAGAATTTCAACAATGGTGGCCTTATCAATTTCACATGTATGTGAATGGAAGAAAAGGCTTACGACTCAAAATATTATAAATAGGCTTCTTCCTTTCATTTGTAAAACTTGTATCTAGTGTAACAAAGAAAGAGTGCAGATTAGCACCAAGAAATATAAACTCCAAGTTACCCTCGTGTGGACGTAGGTTAGAAATAGACCGAACCACCTTAAATCCTTGTGTTCTTGTTTTTCGTGAGCTGTGTGTGTGTTTAGAGTCGTGTGTTAAGTGTCTCGATCCTAACAAGTGGTATCAGAGCAAGGTTGTAGCTCCAGAAGGTGATTTTAAGTTTTTGGTCGAAATTTTTTTTCGTCAAAAACGATTTTGGTGTATACCGTTGGAAAGGTCTCGTTCCGAAGATTCCGAAAATATTTTTTTCTGAATTTTTCGACCACCGGAAGACGTCCAAATCGCCGGTCAAAGGTTCGCCGGAATAGTGACCGGGAAAACCAGTTCGCCGGAGAAGACGACACTGTAGCGCCGGAGCCTTGCCGGAGAAGACGACACTGTACGCCGGAGACCTGCCGGAGAAGACGACACTGTAGACGACACTGTAGCGCCGGAGCCTTGCCAGAGAAGACGACACTGTACGTCGGAGACCTGCCGGAGAAGACGACACTGTAGCAGAATTTAAAAAACTCAGATTTGGTCCCTGAAGTTCCAGAAAATTGCAAGAAAGGTCCCTGTTCTTTCAGAAAATTGCAAAAATGGCAGAAGATGGTAAAATCAAAATTGACAAGTTTGATGGAACCGATTATGGATTTTGGAAGATGCAAATTGAAGATATGTTGTATCAGAAAAGTTTGCATTTGCCTATGTTGGGCGAACAACCGGATGACATGTATGATGAAGAATGGAAGTTGTTGGATCGACAAGCCTTGGGTGTAGTTAGGCTTTCATTGGCAAAGAGTGTTGCGTATAACATTGTTAATGAAACAACTACTTATGGAGTATTTAAGGCTTTGTCCAACATGTACGAGAAGCCGTCCGCTTCCAACAAAGTGTTCCTCATCAAACAATTGGTTAACACCAAAATGAAGGAAGGCATGTCAGTTACCGCTCACATAAACGAGTTTAACTCGATTATCTCTCGTTTAGCCTCAGTTGCAATAAAGTTTGAAGATGAAGTACAAGCGCTCCTCCTTTTATCATCTTTGCCCGATAGTTGGTCAGGCACCGTCACAGCTGTTAGTAGTGCATCCGACACTATTAAACTCACTTTCAAGAGTATTCGTGACTTGATTGTAAATGAAGATATCAGACGGAGAAGCAATGGTGAGACTTCTAGTTCTAGTTCTAGTTCTTTATTGCATACAGAAAGTAGAGGAAGAAGAAACGAAAGAGGACGTAGTCGAGGCAGATCAAAGTCCAGAAAAAGGGGGCAGTCCAAGAACCGAAAAGATATTGAATGTTGGAATTGCAAAGAAAAGGGTCACTTTAGAAGCCAATGCCCAAAACTACCAGCTGAAAAGAAAGAAGTAAACAATGTATCCTCTGAAGAATCGGGAGATTTTCTCATATGCTGTGTTGAGAATTCAGTGGAATCCTGGATTATGGATTCGGGTGCTTCTTTCCATGCCGTCTCATGCCCAGATATGGTCAAGAACCTACAAACAGGTGATCTTGGCAAAGTTCGTTTGGCCGATGATCAAGTGCTTGATGTTACGGGTATTGGGGACGTAGATTTGAAGACCTCCATGGGAACCAACTGGACATTGAAAGATGTCAGGGTTATCCCAAACTTAAGGAGAAAGTTGATTTCAGTTGGAAAATTGGATGATGAAGGGTTTAATGTTCACTTTGGGGGTGGACAATGGAAAGTGATTAAAGGCAAAGGAAACTTGGTGTGTAAATTGAAGAAGAGTTTGTATGGTCTGAAACAAGCACCCAGACAATGGTATTTGAAGTTCGATAACTTCATGAGAAAAGTTGGTTACAAGAGATGTGACAATGATCATTGTTGTTACATCAAGAAGTTTAAGGGTTCTTATATCATTCTACTACTCTATGTAGATGATATGTTGCTTGCCGGTTCAGACATGTCAGAGATCAAGAAGTTGAAGAAACAGATGTCTGAAGAGTTCGAAATGAAAGACTTGGGAGCTGCAAAGCAAATACTCGGGATGAGTATATTCAGAAACAAAGATGGTTCTTTAACACTATCTCAAGAAAAGTACCTTGAGAAAGTATTAGAGAAATTCAGCCTTAAAGATGCCAAGATCAGAAGCACACCTTTGGGAAGTCACTTTAAGCTTTCTAAAGCTCAGTCACCCAGATCAGATGAAGACAAGAAAGAAATGGCTAAAGTTCCTTATGCATCCGCAGTTGGTAGCCTCATGTATGCAATGGTATGCACGAGACCAGATATAGCTCATGCAGTGGGAGTTGTTAGTAGATTCATGTCCAATCCGGGAAGAGAACATTGGGAAGCAGTTAAATGGTTATTGAGATACTTGAAAGGGACTTCAAAGACGGCATTAAATTTTAAGGGAAAAGACGTAGTTCTGAATGGTTATGCAGATGCAGATCTTGGTGGTTGTAAAGATTCATACAAAAGCACCACAGGGTATGTCTTTACAGTGGGCGGCACTGCAGTAAGTTGGATGTCCAAACTACAGAAAAGTGTTGCCCTTTCAACCACAGAAGCAGAGTATATGGCAGTTGCTGAAGCAAGCAAAGAGCTTATATGGTTGAAGAATTTTCTCAACGAACTTGGCAAAGAACAAGATGATTGTGCATTATTTTGTGACAATCAAAGTGCAATTCATCTTGCAAAGAATCCCGTCTTCCATTCGAAGACAAAGCACATACAGCTGAGATATCACTTCATCAGAGAAAGAATTAATGATGGCACTCTGAAGTTGAATAAGATCAAAGGAACTGGAAATCCAGCTGATATGTTGACTAAGGTTGTCACCTTAGAGAAGTTGAAGCTTTGCATAGCTTCAACTGGCCTTCAGGATAATTGAAGAGAAGGCCGGGTAACTAGGAAGGAGTCAAGATCAAAAGTTTTTACAGAAATACAGATACACAGTTGAAGCAATGGTGAAGATTGTTTCGTGGCTTCAAGTGGGAGATTGTTGAGTGTGAAGCCATTTGGTTAGTCAAAAGAAGTGGCAGGAAACAAGGACTCTCATGTGAACATGGAAAAATTGTTACGGCTGCAGAATTTCAACAATGGTGGCCTTATCAATTTCACATGTATGTGAATGGAAGAAAAGGCTTACGACTCAAAATATTATAAATAGGCTTCTTCCTTTCATTTGTAAAACTTGTATCTAGTGTAACAAAGAAAGAGTGCAGATTAGCACCAAGAAATATAAACTCCAAGTTACCCTCGTGTGGACGTAGGTCAGAAATAGACCGAACCACCTTAAATCCTTGTGTTCTTGTTTTTCGTGAGTTGTGTGTGTGTTTAGAGTCGTGTGTTAAGTGTCTCGATCCTAACACTATTGTTAGAGATGTTGACCGAAAAAAAACCTGTTGACCCAATGTTTCAAGATGGCCTAAGCCTGCATTTGTATGCTAGGAAGGCCATGGCTGATGGTTTTGTGCTTCAAATTGTGGATCCAATGCTACTAAATGATGATGTCAAAGACGCGTGTTTGATTTCATTAGTGAAAATTGGCGTGCAATGTTCTTCTGAATCTCCACAAGATCGAATGAATATTGGGAACGTTATTCACGAGCTCCTCTCAGTAAAGGTTGCAGCTCGTTCTTGACCCATACAATCTCTGGTGCCAAAGTTGGTGCCCCTTAAAAGCTAGTGGGTGATTGTGTTATATTCTAAAGAATTGAATTTGTCAAACACATTAGTATTGTTGTAAATCTATGTTTGTAGATGTACAAGTATTAGATAGTATTGGTTATTAGAATAGTTTCCATATTTATGTTTGACATAGTTTCCATATATCAAGTCTTGAGTGTTAGCATAGGATTATTATTGTAGTGTTAGCATATGATTACTATTGTACTCTGTAGACACTCTTTCCTACGAAAATGACTTTTTCTGTATATACACTATACATCCTAGTGCCTAAATATCAAATCTTATGCTAATGTACATGTAGGAGAGTATCAAACAAAGAAGAATAACTAAAATGGCCAAAAAGCTCTTTTCGCAAGATACCCTGCAAAATGACCATAAAAAACAAACAATGCATGCAAAAATACACAAACAAGTATAACGCTTCAAGCTGAGAACAAAATCCCATTTCCCAGAGAGTGTTACATCCCAAACTACATATTACTAATTTCAATAGAAAATTTTAGAAGCAATAGCGACACACACATACACTGAATCTCTCAACATGTTTATATCGTTCTAAAGGTACACAACTAGTCTTTCCATTTTGTAATTTTAACCGATGCATTAGATTTTATAATCAAATAGTTTACAAGTCTGTTAAATTTTGGAACACAAGTCCAATTGCATCAAGAAACGTTTAATTAGTTAACATAATCTAAATGTTGAGAAGAGTTCAGAAGTAAAGAGATTACAACTACATATCTTCAGGCATTAAATCCCATCTTGATTGGCGTTTTGGACGATATTTTCTCCCATTGGTCAACCCTGATTGACCCGGTTGTGTTGGTGGTGTAACTGGTGGTGAAATTGACCGGTTGAATGATGATGGCAGTGTTATAAAATGCCACTCCTCATCAACATCACTGATCCAACCATGACATGGTTTTCGCCTCCGGGGTTGACCATTTTCAGGTGGTGATGGAAGCATATCATCCATGGCAGGTGGCACTGGCGGCAGTTTTAGAACCGTTTCTACAACAGGTGGCAGAGGTGGTGGTGGAGGAAGGATGGCATCCATGACAGGTGGCACTAGCGGCAGTGTTAGAACCGTTTCTACAACAGGTGGCAGTGGTGTTAGAGAGGCAACCAGAGGTTGCAGTGATGGTGGTGGTGGTGGAAGGACTGTAAGAGGAGTGGAAGGGCAGATCGGAATGTCAATGAAGCCAGACTTTTCAGCTTCAATGATCTCATTCTGCATTAAGACACTAGAACTCTTTAAAACGAAGGTAAACAAATTGGGGAAAAACTAAATCAAATGTAAGCAATTTCACTACCGGATTTGATGTTTCCCCTTGTTCTTGATTTTGCTTATCTTGATCGGCAAGAAGGGCTTCCAAAAGCACGCAATACGCATCAAGTTCAATAAACCCATACCCATCTTGCCCCCCATATTCCTAAATCAACATACATTCGAATCATAATAACAACTAATAAATATTTTTTTTTAAAAAAAAACTGGGTTTTACACCAAGAACAGTCAACTAAGAACACTTGCTACAAACACAATTCGATCTAGAAAGGGGATTGATTGTATAAACCTATAAACCCTAATTGAAAACATGGAAGACACTGAAAAACCCCATCAAAAGTATTAGCAAAATGAAAAGATGTCAGATTTGAGGAGAATACCTTCAGGAGCTGACGCATCTTGGCGATGACGACTTCTTTGGTGAACCCAAATGGCGCCATTGCATCAATGGCTGCATCCATTCGAGACGTACGAGACTGCAAGATGGTTTCACGAAACAGAAATGAGTTATTATTAGTCGATTAATCTATCAGAAATATCCGAGGATGATCATCAAGAAAGTAAGAGAATGAGACCTTGGTGGTTCTCCCCCTTGGTGCCATTTGGTTTCACCCCTGAAGAAACTCTATTTGATTCTGAGTGTTGATGTTACCGGTCTCTAGCAGAAGAGTTTGAAATGGCAACTTAGAGAGATGAAGACAGAGTGGAGTGGTGAACACAGTAACCAAAAACAAGAAACAGAGATGCATGCGCATCGAGGTGCGCATAGAGAGGGCTCGTTTTAGACGATGTACGGAAAGAGCAGGAGGAATCGTTTTTTTTTTTTAGGGAAGAACTTACCCAAACGGGTTATGTACAGATACGCCGTTGATCTCAACCTTTTCCATATATATGTTTCGTTTATCGATGGAACTTTTTATTGATTTTCGAGTTTGAAATAGATTTTGAAGGAGTTTATGAATGGAACTTTTTATTGATTTCCGAGTTAGAAATAGATTTTGACGGAGAAAAAGAATAATTGATTAAAAACACAGTAAATCGTAAAATTGGTCGTTATTCTTTACTAAAAGTGCGGTTTGAGTCTAACCTAAAATAATTTATCGTATCTTCAGTTTAAAATTAAAAATATTGTGCAAATTTAGTCATTTGAAAGTTGACTAAACTGTACAAATGGTCCTGTGGTTTGCTTAAAATTGTTACTTTGATCCAAAAAGGTTTGGACTAGCACCACAAGTCCAAAGTTTTCATTTTGTTGCTAGTTTTGTCCAATTTACTTTGAACTTTTTCATAATGACGATTTTGCCATTACTTGTTTCTTTTTTAGTTATTTATTTATTTAAATATTTTTCTGTTTAAATGAAAAAAATTGCGTTTTTGTTTATATAATTTTTTTATAAAGGAATAAAAATAAATAAATAA